AGGGCGAATACCAAAATGCACACAAGGCACCAATGCATTAAAGACCTCAATTTTGTCTCATTACCCAAAATACATGAAAACACTGTAAAAGGTCAAACAAACACATAATGGATGGTTGCCCAGCTTATGTCACTGTATAAAGTCTCGATCTTCAATTTTTACTTTGTTTCTAACAAGATTCTAGAAGAGTTCGTCAGCCAACAACAGAAACCTAGGTCCAATCCGCTGCGAACAAGCACATCTCATGCAGCAGGAGTTGTTGCCAATTTGTGTTAATGTTAATTTTTCCCAGCATGGCTGTCCATACCTATTGTCCGAGTAGTGCTGCCAGATGGGGGTAGCTTGGCAAGAGGTGGCAAGCCTTGGGAAGATTCCTTCCGAGGGCTCTTCAAGTTCAGACCTGAAGAGAATAAACAGGATATCTTTCAAGGAACACACTATTATCAGATGTGCCCTCAATGACAGATTCTTGACCAGTTCGGTACTGTTTGCATCAATATGTGGCATGGGCAGACTGGCCCAAAAGGGACAGAAACAACAGAAAATGACTGATGTGATGACCCCCCCTCAAGTTTACCTGGTTTGTACCGCGCCGACCTGATGTAGAACTGTTTTGCTGACGACGCTGAAGATCGGCCCGATTCCAAGGTGGGTCTGCCCGGAGCCTGAACCTTGGAGTAGGAGGCCTTATTCCTTGGTGGACTCCTGGCAGGGGGCGGAAGAGAAAGAACTCATTCACAATAACAGCTTCTTTAAAATGTAACTTGCCTTAGTTGAGGCATCTTGGAGATGCAGGAATGCCGGGAAGAAATCAGGGCAGTGGAAAGAGACAAGGCAAATGGCCAAGGAAAAGGAGGCAAGGAAAGGTTTCCATTGAGGAGCTGAACTCAGAATGAAGACAGCAAGATCTGAACAAAGATTGCCTCATATCCAATGGCCAACTGCTCCCCTTTACCAATACTTGGGGACAGAGTAATTTCCTATACTATAAATCACGCATACATCTTACCAGAACCAAATGAATTAATACTTGTTTACCCTCCTTTTCGGGGTTCTTCTTGTCGGGAAGAGGGTTGCGAGAGAAGGGAAAGAGGATGACTCCGCATGGAGAGGAAAAACCTACCCAAACAAATCATCGTCATCATCCCAGTCAAATGATGATTTCTTCTTCAGGGGAGGTTTCCTTTGCATGACAGGAGCAGCTGCAGCTTTCTTGTTTTCAAAGTCCCCAAAGTCGTCTATGCTGTCAAACAGATCCGGCGCCTTTTTCTGGAAATCCCATCGCCTCCGCCCACTCCTGTTCCCAGGTCCTCCCATCCCTGCTGCGCCCCCGGCAGGTGGGGCTGGCTGTCTCTGAACAGGGGCCACTTCCTTAGCTGGCACGGCCTTGGCCGGTTTGGCATTCCCTAGCGACGTGAGGTAATCATCCAGACTGTCATCCATCCTCGTCGTTTTCTTAATGTCCGTCGGAGAGTTCAAGATATTATCCTTATTGAGTAATGGGTTCCTTCTTTGCTGCACTTGCTGTTGCTGCTGTTGGCCGTATCCAAGGTTGCCAACCATTTGATTGTTTGCTGTGACAGGTGGCATCTTTGGGCCAAGATTCTGGCCGACTTGGAAGTAGGGATATCTCAAGGCCTGCAATCAACAAATCAGACTCTTAACAATGCTGAATGTTCTGAAAGGACGAGCGGTGCATTCAACTCGTGGGAATGTTGCAAAACACTATATGCATCACAACCTGAAATTAGCCCCAGGTTAAGACACCTGCACAATGCATGGAGGAGGTTGGGGGTTAGACTCTGACCAAAACGAAAGTATTTCCTGTTTCCCTGCTATCAACTCTGTGAAAACACAAGGTACATGTACAGCTTTCTCAGTTGAAGGTTAAATCTTGTATCAAGCTTTACATCATCTTGAGATAATTGAATTTTAATTTATTTGAATTTATTGTCCTCGGTATGAACATAGGATGAAATTCGTTGTGGTCTTGCGAGCAGTAAGATCCAATTACAATATACTCATGAAATTAAAATTAAATATACATTTACTAAAACTTAAACCTTAAAAACTGATAACACAATTAAAACCCCACATTAACATTAATTACAATACAAGGGTACAAATTTACAGAAATAACCATAAAGCTAAAAAATGGACTATATTTTCACTTGAGCTTTGGGATTAGATCACCAGATGTGGTGTCTGACCTGCATGATGGTGGGCCGTTTCTGTGGGTTCCATGCCAACATGTCTTTCATCAATGCCAAGGCATCATTGCTGGCATTTGGTATGAGGGTCTTCAAGGGTACTGGGACGCACTGGGGGAATTTGAAGTTCATGTTGGCAGCAAGCTTGTAGCCCTCTGACCATTCATCCTGTTAAACAGCGTACAAAGGAAAGAAATCGTCTTTAGAGCTAAGGAAAGAAACTGAACTGAACTGACCAGCCTTAAGGCCAGTTTTACATTCGTGAAATGAATATTTGCTCTGCCATCACCAAATTGCATTGGTGGTCGGTTTAGTGACAAGTATAAATGGGTGTTCATGCCCGCAATCTGTTGGTGAACTGGCGAGGTGAGTTAGATGACACGGGAGTCAGATGGTATTTGTGCCGAGATCATGTGTCTGTTATAACAACTCTAAAATTACTGTGATTGCAGAACTGGGAAAGAGCAAGTGGGAAGTCAATAAATTTACAATCCCTTGTTCCTTATGTTTCGTTTTGTTTTAGATTTTCAAAGGGACAAAATCACAGAAAGGATGTTTGTGGACTACACACCTTCTTTGGCGTTCCCAGGACTGAGCAGATCTTGAAGATCTCATCCACTTCACTGTTGCCAGGGAAAAGCGGCCTCAATGTGTAGAGTTCGGCCATGATGCAGCCGATAGCCCACACATCGATGGGGGAGCTATAGTTGGTGGAGCGCAGCAGGACCTCAGGGGCGCGATACCTGGGACAGAGAGTAGGCAATTGGTTCATCTCATCCCACAGCAAGCTACAAGTATGGATATTAACGCTACCTCTATCAGTGACAAAATGGAGACAGATCCTCTATTAGCAAACATCAATCACAGGACTGTTTCTAACTTCCAGGAATTCTGTGCCTACACTGACAAGACTGACTAACATTGAGCAGTTACTTGATAGATCTCTGCACACACAGTCTACGTGTACTAGTTCCAAAGGCCTATCCCATCACTCCACCTGTTGACAGAATTTGACTAGTCCCGGTGCTTACTAGACATGTGATCTGACTACTGGTGACTCGTATTCATCTTCAAGAAAATTTGAATTCTCAAATCTGATTGGTCGATCCATGGCAACAAACAGTGTGACATAACTGTAATGCATGCTTCCTACCAAATCCTGTGTAATGTGCAATTCTAAATCTGTGCATTGCACTACTTTTACGCTAAAAGCAAATGCACAATGTAAATTTGAAATTGGCGCGTTTGCACGCACATCTTTACTGCGTGCCAAGTTTGCTTGAAGATAAATTCCTTATCACTCGTGAAACACGGCATAATGTTGTGCGTCTGTGTCCCGTATACCACTCTACCTCGGCCTCATGGTACATGTCTATGGGACGTAGACACACTTCATTATTCTGTGTGCCAGTCGCACCTGTAGGATAACTAAGAGTATTTACGCAGATGCAATGAAGGATTAACAGTTTTTGGACTGTCTCCGACGGTTAAAACACTGGAAGGGGTAACAGCAGTTAGAGGTTTCCATCAGACTTCTAGATCACTCTACCATCAAGTAACAGGAACATACTTGAAATGATTGCAAATTTCAGAAGCAATCGCCTCAGTGCACAGCTATGCGCCCTGCAGTGAAGATGTTGAAATCTAGCATCTAGACTCACCATCTTGTTGAGACATAGTCTGTGTACGGTGGTCTGGATCGTGTTTCCCTGGCAAGGCCAAAATCGGCAATCTTGACCAACTCGGGCCCCTGACAGAGCAGATTTTCAGGCTTCATATCGCGATGAAAAAAACCTGAGGAATTCACACACGTACATCAATTGGTATGAACCATCATCTTCAGGTACACAAAAAGATTTTTCACAAAATGCATCAATTTCTCTCTGGATTTTCAATAGCTTTTGTCTGATTTTGCTAGGTAGAATCTGTTTAGGAGCTTACCATGCTTATGTATAAATGCCATTCCTTGTAGAATCTGAAACATGATGTTACGAATTACTGACTCTGGGAATAACTTGTCTCTGCAAAATTGGAAAGACACAAATATATGAAACATTTCTTTTTTTTCCATGTGCTTTTACTTGTCAAAAGCATTTACATGTAGTTGCTGTCATGTTACCTAAATGTACAAAGGTAAAAAAGGTGCCACAAAATGTTAGGAATTTCTCCATTTTCTTAAGAATTCACCTGTCTGTGCATCATGTACACATACTTACATGTATGAGGTACATGAATGATAGAATTTCTCTGTAAACAAATCAATTATGATTACTCTCGGGATAGATTGCCTCAAACTTGACCAGGTATGTTTACAATTTCTTTAATGATTAATTTGGTTTGACAGTACCATTTGTTACTGACTTTGTTTTCTATTCTATTCCTTATCAGAGTGAGCAGATAACCAGGTGAACTCTACATTGAAATTTCAAGAATAAGTGCTGATTTTCTCCAATTAATCAAACATGGATGTGTATGATTAACAATATGAATGGCGACAAGAGTGCCGTTTAGTAGGGTTGGTGGAACTATGCTTCAATGCAAAGAATAAATCACAAATGTACATGTACCTGTATGATGTTGGGTAGTACCACTTCATGTTATATACATGTAGTGGACATACCAGTGCATAAAATTTCAATCTTTTGACCTTGTTTAGCAAGGCCAAATTTCAGGAAATTACATGTAGCGACTCTCGAGATTAACCCTTTTTCCACACCTGAGATCAATTTATCAAAACCACATAGAACATGAATCTTAATGTGTAGTGTCAAGATGAACAAAGGAAGAGTCTAGAAGGCAAACTACATGGACAAGTACCATGCACTGATTGGAAGTTGCATAAGCATGTGTTGTACAGTTAAGTTCTGTGGACTTTCATTCTTGTATGGAAGTAAAAAATATGCCCATACGGTTTACCAATTCATTCCATCATACATGTACATTCTTTACTTCAAAGGGACCTCGCCCGACAGGTTTGTTTACCAGCCTGTGTTGCCATGCCAACCATAGCCCTCAGCATCACACATTGTGATTGTTATCGTCTCGGTTGGCTCTCACTACACTGTGCATGTATGTCAAGGTTTTTCCCTTAACCCCCCAAGTCTTGCGATAATGACGATATGCAGCCTAGCAACTGAGGGATGTATCCCACCACTGGCTGATCAGTAATTCATGAATTTATACCAGCATATTGACAATAGCAAGTGCATGTACACTGCAGTCCTTCCAATGTATTCTGTGCCTATCTGGCAAGGGTGCTAATGTAGATGCACAGTGTACATGCAATGCACACATGTATGGCCAATTACAGTCCAATTGTGTTGCTTCTATTTCAAACGTGACATTTTTTCTGCTTTTAGTCATTCATGATTCTAATTAAAAAGTTAGAACAAAGCATAGAAGCCTTATATAATTATTGCATATAATTATACAGGTTTTTCAATCACGTGATTTTTGACCATCAGTTTTCAATATACACGGATGTGCGGGGTAAAGTGCACGCCTTTGGAGTCTCCCAGCATTCTGGTGTACATGAAATTGCCAACTGAAAGACGCAAATTCGAAAATGCATGCGCTGCTGCAGATTTGGAACGCTTCTTGAACTGCCTTTGCTGGTCAAGTGACATCATTTGAAAAATCTTTATCTATAGGTATGCATGCATGTACATGTACAAATAGATGTGGAACTCAGGAAATATATGTGAAACGTTAAAAAAAAAGGAAAATCGTTTTACAAAGTGAAATCAGACTTGAGCTTTTCTATCTTCTATCTACTGTTTGCTCTCTTGTTTTTTGGTTTCTGTTGTTCATTGCATTTTGGGAATCTTGACTAAGGCATCACGCACATCTACATCGATATCTACATGCATCAGTACTTCAAGCAGTGAGTCATTCCAAGGAGTATCCGGTTTGTAAGTGATTTCGTCACAAAGGCGGACACGCCACGACTTGCATGCTCTCATTGGGTGTAGTTTAAACTAAAGTGACATCACACTTTCAAACCAGATAGGCAATACTGGGTGGCATGGATAGCTTTAGCCTAAAATGACCGATTTATCTGACTTTCCTGTTTCAGCATAGAATTTGTGATCTGAACGCCGTTTCCTGGCAGACAACAGAGCATTATGAATATCGCCATCAGTGTTATCATTGTAATAGTTGCTGAAATGTATCTGGCTTCAAGTGTTTTTAATTTGGGATCCTCTAGACTGAGAGTGCAGGGTCTTATGTAGGCACATCATTTCAATTATCACTCATTTCGTGGTGAGCTTCATTACATATTAATCTGTTCAACATTTTAATCCCAAATGCAAATGATGAACATGTCATGACAACCTGAGTTGCATGCTCGAGTTTAGACCAAGAGAGTGTATGGAAAGCAGCCTAGACTAATCTAATAAACTCGTCTGACTGGCAGACATACTTCATTAAGTTCATTTTTTACACTCATGCTCGTTGTTTTTATGCTCACAGAAACAGACAGATCTAATTGAATTATTGCTGCATTTGTTCCGACAAAAATGCCAGCAAATTCAATCTCCCCCCCGGTAAGCTGAACCCCCCATATATCATAAGAGAGGTAAATTTTGCTTGTACAATATTTCCAAACCCCAATTTTTAACACAAACCTTGAACAGTGGCGACTAGATCTTTTTCTTTCCTTCTAAACCACTCGGTAGAGTGTGTACATGGTGTCAGATAGCACCTATGGATATCAATCTGACATATTTCACTGGACAGATAGCTGTTCACCTTAGCTTTGGAGGGGCAGGTGATTTTGAAATCCTAGATTAAACCCTGGTTCACAAAAAACATAATGTCTCAGGAGGTTACAGTTAAGATTTGATCCAAATCTTCTGTTAAGCCTTTGCCTCGGTTATATTTCCTTACCTGTCTTTCATGAGTTGATACAAGTTTTCCTTCATGTACTCAAAGATGAAAAACAGCTGGTTGTCTTCTCTCACCACTTCTTTCAACTTGATGATGTTGGCGTGATTCAGTTTTTTCAACGACTGTCAACAAAATTGAGATATCATTAGAAATGAAATATACGTTTGTTAATTAATCACCTGCCACACCTTTGGCAATTCAGGTTTCAACTAGCCACACTTTGGCATGTAAATGCATATCTGATTTGTTCCTGATCTATTTCTAAACTCACAACAGGGTGCTCAAGATCTTTGATTTTTTGTCTTCATTTCAACAAATCATCGTATCTTACCTTAACCTCCCTGAGTTCCATACATTCATCCCAAGAATAATACTTCTTCTTCATTCTGCAATGCGAAACAAAAAATATCACAAGCATGAAATTCTGTGCTAAGTACTCGGCCATGACAATGTACAGGAAATGGCTACATAATACAGCCACTAGCAAGCAGCCTTCATAGGTAGATATGTCAGGTCTAGCCATAGCCACGTCATTCAGACTCAGCCCAAGGTACATGTATACTCTAACGGTATTCCTCAGGTCAAAGTCAGAATCCTACATCAGCGGAATTTCCTTTTGCTACAGAAGATCTTCCCTCTGTGAGTTATTTGCCACTGATTGCCAAGAGTGGATCCAGAGGCTAAAAAGTTTGAATTTCTTTACGTAACCCACTACAGTCTTTCTGAGAGGCGAGGCTCCGTCTGGGGGCTTTTTACACCCTTTTGGAAGGACATGAAGGAAAATGAAATGACCAAAAGCCTTTTCAAAAAGTTCATATAGCTTATGGCTCTAGTGCTGAATTCATGAAGTCTATAGATCTTAGCAAAACTTACTTTTTGATGGCCACCATCTCTCCATTGTCTGTCTTTCCGAGAATGACACTTCCGTAAGTTCCATCTCCAACCTGTTTGAGCATCTGATAGCGATTCATTGTGACCACAGCCATGCAATGACCTCGTGATGAAGTCTCACTTGATCCAAAGTTCTACTCGTCTCCAGCTTAATCAGTTTCAAATTTTAAGCATTACCACTGATGAATATAATTCCATAGCTTATCTTCAAATGTCAGGTTTAAGTTCGCAGAGGAAGGATGCATGGTAGAAAGCCAAAGGTCTTGGGGGTCACACAGGTCACACTGGGGAGTGTCATCGGAGGTCACATGGTATGGCAAAGAATGACAACTCTTAAGTATCATCGGACAGCACACATTTCTCTGAAACCACACTCTGTGAAATGAAACAATGTACTACACTGTGACTAGGCTACTTTAAAGAGCACCTCTAAGAAAAACATGTTTTCTCTGATTTTATCTGTTCAAATAAATATGGAAGCATCCAAATCGAATGCAGTATCATTTGTCTTCAGAGCTCAACTATAACAAGCTTAATAGGTGTTTTTTTCTGTACATGCCAAGATGCGAATTCTGAATGTAGATTGCGTCATTCTGAGAAAATAGAGAAAACGAGGGGATCCCTCGCCCTGTGTTTGTAGTGGATAAACCCTTGTGTATGCCAAACAATGCATGTAGCTGTTGTTTGTAGCCATTGTTTGGGAGCATAGCACTGGTTACACGTACATGTATAGTATGGGGCAGCGCGGACATCTGGGAGTTTCACAAAATTGTGGGTAGCAACCACACTGGGGCCAGTAAAAACAACTGCAACGAGCGTGTGAGTACATACTGATCAAAGAAAAGATTGTATAACCCAATCCTCGGACTGGCTGGTGCTTGTGTATGTCACCATGGTTGCTGTTTTCACCACCGCGGTAGTCAACTCCTTTTTTGTATAGAATTGGAAAGAGTGACAATGATCTATCTACTTTTTGCCGGGCTGAGACGTTGGTGTACTTATTTTGTACTTGTGAAATTTCTTCCACCTTTTAGACACATAAGAGAATGGATTACAAATAATTTAAACATGCAAGTGCATTTAGAGAATGAGGCTATTCTTTTTGGTATATTTAACAAAAATTGGAGCGCCCTCAATCTTAATCTCCTTTTGTGTTGCATTCACATTTATAAGATGAAGATGAATGACAGCAAACTGTCACTCACATTGTTAAGAAGAAACATACAAAGTTATTATGCTCTTGAAAAACATATACTTATTCCAAATGGAGAGACTGCTTAATTTCATTTAAAATGGGACCGTTTTTCGCTGGACATATATAACGGATAATCTTAGTATATCGTTTATGTAGCCACAATTTGAACAAAGTTCAAAAAAATGTTTCTGGTAGTTATTTAAAGTTGCGCTGTGGCTGTTGTTACGGCAGCTGTAACATATCTCCCATTTTCTATTGTTACGGCACTGCTACTGTGCAAGCGCACCGACTTGTGCAAATTTCAGACTTTATTTCCCTTTAAAAAAATTCTCCAAAGCCTCCGATGAGAAGAAAAAAGACTCCTGCTTAGGCCTATACAATTTGAATTACAAATCAACATAAAAAAAAAAATTCCTACGACAAAAAACATGAAATTTAGGCAAAAAAAAAAAAAATGGTCCAAGCGTGGATTTGAACTCACACACCAGTGATTCTAAACCTTCCACCTTGACCACTCGGCCACAAGCATTCAGCAATCCAGGTAATTTTAAAGTATATAAACCATCGTGATGATCAGCTACGTCATCGCACTTGCGCAGTTCAGTGCTGTAACGATAGAAAATGGGAGTTACAGCTGCCGTAACAATACTACCACTTCATTAACATGGTTAAAGTTATCTGTCTGTCAAATGCCTGTCAATTGAATGAATGCTTTTCCTCTGGAGGAAAAAAACAAAGTTCTTTCCTTTTTCAAAAAGAATCGTAAAACTGTCGGCACTTCAAGGCCTACTAGTAATTATAACATTCTGTGACACCGACATGACCGACAGCGCTCATAGAATGCGGCCAGTAGAATATGAAGTCAGTACGTGTGTTTACTCGTGTTTACACGGTTAATCCGCGCACACAGCTTCGTTTGTGAGCGCGAGGGAATACCCGGACATTTTGTACTTCAACAACTTAGAAACGAAGCAAATGCACAAAATTCACACACAACGTGACTCAGTGATAACAACTCACCCTTAGCAGTGCCTACACTTTTATGCTCACGGCATAAAAAACGTGGAAAATGTCGATTTGCACGCTGCACACGTCCTTAGTGATGGACAAACTTTCCCCAACGAAAACTATGGCTGCACCTCATTTACATATACACGTCAAATTGCGCCCTCTGTTGAACATAATTAATAGGCTGGTAATTAGAGCTTTATTTTGTTCCTTGACGATTTGGTTGCTAAAAAACCTGATTAATGTAATTTTCCTAACTTTCATAATTTCATTACAAAATGAGCAGTAAATCGTACGATGTTTCCTCCGTTTCTCTTTAGAAAGGATATTTCCATTTTAATTATTTAATTTATGTCTACGCATTTGAGGAGTCGAGGAAAACTAAAACAAAGAAAAATGTTGAGACGTTTCTTTTTCAATTTCCTTCCAAATACCTCTTGGAAACAAGCTTCTGAGAAAACAGTAAACGTGAAAAAGAAGGGAGGTGGTGTGTGTGCAGTTATAGGGAAGCTGAGCTCATCCGACCCGCCCGAATCGAGGATGAAAGCTCATGCATACCCTACAGAAATGGTGACAGGTGCAAATTTACTCACACACAACCACCACCACTACACACGCGCCACTGTTACTACTTAGCTAGAGAAGGCAATTTCTGGGTACATAAAGGTATTGATAGAGATGACGCAATATGTTGCCGTCATGTGATGCTGACGTCAACACAGGCAGTTAAAGGTCAATGTCACATTGAGCATGCGAGCATTGTGAATGCTATAAATTGAATGATATGAGCACGCACGAACTTGAGAAATCCACACATGGAAAAAATTTCGATTATGATTATCCCTATAACTCATATGTTGTGTGTATTACATATCTTAAGTTCAAACAGCCTGAGCAGTAACTTATGAATATAAAACATTTCAATTATTTGGTTAATGGTTCAGACATTTTAAGTTTTAATGTGGATCGTGTGTCAGTGAATTTTCTTTAGTCACTGCTGTTTAGCTATGAGCAGTTTTCGAACCAATTTGAAATCATCACAAAACTTGACCAAGGCATTAGGTCCCGCCGGGTCCCGGAGAAGTGAAGAGTGGGCAAAGCGAGACGCCGCCCCCCCCCCCGAGTGCCGGTCGATCGATCCAATTCACCTTTCCAATTCGTTTATGGACTTCACCATTGGACGTGAAAATATTCACTTCATTGGAGCGAGAGAGGATCTGGCCAGACCAACAGGGGCTATCTCCTCCCGCCCCCCAGATATGAGCCAAAACATTTTCAAAATTTAAAAAAGACAAAGAAAGGCAATTCTTCATCTCTATTTCATTTCTCTTTCCATAAAACCTGTGAAAACCCCCCAAATGTAGCTCCACCCCCTACAACAAGGCAATAAAAGGTCACTTAAAAAATTACAAGATTTCTGCCCCCCCCAAAAAAAAATTGCGTTGTGGATTCGGCCAGGGGTAAGATCTCCCGAAGAATAGCACGATCAAATAGAACTACATACTACTAGCTTCATCGTATACAGGTACCTTGCTACGAAGTGCTATCAGGAGACAGCAATTTTTTTTTCTATATGCTAAAAAGAAAATTTAACAAAACAAGGGAAAGAAAAGGCATTTTCACACTTGTTAGTGTATTTCCCGTCTGTAATGGTAATAAATAGGCATTTGGGGCAGAAATCTAGTCGGCAAAAAAAATGAACTGAGTGTCGAATTAACACAGCAGGAACTCCCCGGGGTTAGTGCTAGGGAGTTATTGGGTCCATGCTTCAGGCTCATGTACGTACAATTTCCCGCTATGCAGTGGCTCAGCTCGAAGGCGTCGGCTTCATGCGTCATATATAAATGTTAGAGTTGAGATGATGCAATCATTTTTTTTTATGCCGAATGAACGACGCCCTCTGTTGATGTCATTGTTCGAATTATTCAGCTGCGCCTACTGCACACGTTTTTAGCCCATGCTTGCGGCTCACAGGGCCGTAATTGCGCGTCGTAACCGCCAGTAATTTAAATGGCTGTGATTTTTTCCATGAAGAGTAGCAGCAATTCTCAGTTCACAGAACATGAACTACTATATTCGGCTTCAGTTTGGACCTTGCTCTTTGGGATTTCATCAGCAAAAATTTTAATGGACAAGTTTTCTGTTTCAAGAATGTCAGGACAAGGCGTGTCAATCTAAAGCACGCTGATCGGGATATTTGTTTTCTAAATAAGTAAATGGAAATAATTCCAGCTACGAATTGAGATAACTCGAGCCCAGGAAGCCTTGGCATTTTAACATTAGTAATAACCCAGTCCCATCCAATCTATTTCGTAAATATGTTCAAAGTAAGCTAGCTCTTCTTAGCTCACTTACGAACGTGGGCAATATCCACAGAACGTCTCCCTTTCCTGCATCGTGTGGACATCTTTTGTTCACGTTTCCACACTAGGTATGTAAGGTTAGCACATCACGCGCATATACAACTGTGTATTTGCCTACAACTGAGACCCCGTAGTTCATCTACTCTTCATATACTTCAACTTTTTGGAGGACCCTCGGGGACCCTCGGTTAATCGGGGACCCTATCGTCCTCTATTGCTCAGGGTCCTCGATTGAATGCAAATCAAACTCATACATACAAACAAAAGCAAAAACAAAAGGAAATCAGCCATATAATAAAGAGAGAAATTTCCGTTCTTAACGCCTCTGTGGTTATCATGTGCGACATCATTTTTATTTCGTGCTGAATGTAAAATTAATTCCCAACATAGGCAAATATCACGCAGAATGTATACAGAAATGTTTGCTGGAAACTGCTCATGGTTTCTTTACAATTACTGTCGTAATTCAGACGATTACAAATAATTTTTTTTTAGGATTCTACAGATTTTTATTGTGCATGAAATCTTTCTTATTATTTTTCAAAACTCCCATAAAGTTTTTCAAAATGTTTCAATACTTTTTCTATATTCTGTTCTATTCTAGTCTTGAAATATTTACATTTTTAGCTGTAATATCATAACTTTAAATTAGGATTTTTTTACGAATCTGGAAACTATACTTCGCAACCCGATTCATGTTTCACGAAGAATGAGCAACACAGTGGTGTTTAAGGTGGAATTAAGGTTCACTTTGCCTCGTCTCCAGTTCAGCTAGTGAAGGCTCAAAAGGTTTATGCAAAAGAGAAAGTTCTCACGGTATCTGAAGTTGACGATGCTCACATTTTATGCTGCTTAAATTTGTGCAAGTCAGAGTCTGAAAAATGTGCACCCGGTCACCGGTTTGAAGTCGTCCTCAGAGCCACTTGAGACTGCGCTGTTGAGCTGGCAGATGCCCTCCTTACCAGACTGCTTCCAGATGTTGAAGGAGTGGCATCGAGGCTCCGCCCAGCACGCCTGACCACACCCAATGACTCCTGTAACCGTCAGGTTCTTGATCTCATAGTGGAGCAGACACTGAGGTGTGACCTGCCCGTCAGCATTGGCTTGCAGGCAGTAGGAGCGAGGAGAGACGAGCATCTCGCAGGCGGCGTAAAACTCATTGTTACAGTCTGTGTCGTCCCATTTCCCGTCTTGATATCCTCTCATTCTGGCACAAGGGTCATCAGTCCCAGTCGCCGCTTTAACACTCGCCCAGAATGTAAAGGTCGGAGCGCCATTATGACCAGGGCACACTAACTCGTCAGTGCCATCTCTTTTCTTGCACCCTATCCACAGCTGTAAATCACTTGCGCTAAGTCCCTGCATCAACTCTTGCGTTTGCCGCCAAATGAAGTCTTGTTCTTCCTGCGAGTCAGGGACAACCAGGCTGCTTCTGAGCCCGTCGCAAACTCGAGCAGCTTGCCTCCAATTCATTTTATCGGGAAGCCAGATGTAACAGGCGCCTCGCCAGGCAAGCCAGCCGAAAGGACAGGCGGCAGTTTGAAATACTCCCACCGTCAGGATAAGAAATCTACCAAAACTGAGCACGGATGACATTCTCGACGATCAACGAATTAAGGACACAGCACACTTGTTCTAGTTTAACGAAATAGAAGTCTAAACTATCTGGTGTCTGCAGTGTCTCTGTCATACACGACGCCTTTCGCTGGCATGAAACTCAGGCTAATATCTAATCCTCATAAAAGGCCTTGTTCAAGGCACTCTTAATTAATCATGAAAAGGCGCTAATTATTATGCCCCAGTTACTTAGCGACGAGCAAAGCAGGCAATTTACCTTATCAGACACAGTCAAGGCTATGTTTTTATACTCCCTCAAAGACACCAAAAGGAATCAGTAACCGTCCAATTAGACGTTCATTTACAGTCCAGCAGATATTACAATTCTTGACTGCTTTGCTGTAAGATATGACGTTTTGAAAACACGGGGGACGAATAGCGTCTGAAGCAAAGCTGAGGGCACAGTTCAAAGAATTGGCAATTTGATGTATATTGAAAATCAGTGACGTCAGCTTCGAGGCTCGTGGCACTGTTAAGTTGACAGACATTCTTGTCCTCGTCATTGTGCCAGAGATTGAAGGAGTGGCATCGAGGCTCCGCCCAGCACGCCTGACCACACCCAATGACTCCTGTAACCGTCAGGTTCTTGATCTCATGGTGGAACAGAAACTGAGGTGTGACCTGCCCGTCAGCATTGGCTTGCAGGCAGTAGGAGCGAAGAGAGACGAGCATCTCACAGGCGGCGTAAAACTCATTGTTACAGTCTGTGTCGTCCCATTTCCCGTCTTGATATCCTTTCATTCTGACACAAGGGTCATCAGTCCCAGTCGCCGCTTTAACACTCGCCCAGAATGTAAAGGTCGGAGCGCCATTATGACCAGGGCACACTAACTCGTCAGTGCCATCTCTTTTCTTGCACCCTATCCACAGCTGTAAATTACTTGCGCTAAGTCCTTTGATCAACTCTTGCGTTTGCTGCCAAATGAAGTCTTGTTCTTCCTGCGAGTCAGGGACGACCAGGCTGCTTCTGAGCCCGTCGCAAACTCGAGAAGCTTGCCACCAATTCATTTTATCGGGAAGCCAGATGTAACAGGCGTCTTGCCAGGCAAGCCAGCCGAAAGGACAAGCGGCGTGCATAGTTTGCAACGCTCCAACACTCAGGACAATTAGAACTCCAAAAGAAATCATTTGAACGCCCA